CCCGAGCAAGAGGCAGCGGGTCCGGGCAGCAGCTGTGCCCAGGGGCGGGAAAGGGGCCGCAACAGCAAAGCTGCTGCAGCCAAACCCCTGGGATGCATTTAGTCCACCTGCAGTTTTCCCTAGTGACCCCCTTTTCCACCAGCTGGTCCCTATGCACCACTGACACAAGATTTCTTATTAAAAAAAAATCCCATCAGCATGCCCTTTGAGGCAGGCTATAGCTTTCTAGCATCTCTGCCCCAATATAACGATTCTCTCTGCTTTCCAAAAACGAGCTGCATTCAGAGGGCAGGTGTGCAAGAGCATGAGCAGGCTGGCAGCAGCACATGAGGCATGAAAAACTCCTACCGTCGACCACAGGTTTGGGCTGCGAGCTCTTCAGCCGCAGCGAGGGCCTGAAGCGGGTTCGGTCGTTGAAGCTCCAGCTCTTCTGGACTTTGGTTGGGCTGCCCTCGGTGGCAATATCGGCACTTGGTGACCGGCGATCTCCAACTGAAGACTGCCTGTTCTTTATACTTTGACCTCGTGGACTGGCCATCCGGACTCGCTCCTTAAAACTTAGCTTTTGACTGTGAAGAGAAATGTATTTTATTTCATAGTTCCTCCATTCCTTTTTTTTTTCTATCGTATGATATTAGGAAATAATTTCTAAAAATTCTCAGGGATATGAATCTGTTTCTTACACACTTTTATTTTCATTGAATATATTTCATTTGGGAATGAAACTGATTTGATGTAATTGTTTTCTGATAGAGGCATTATCAATGGCAGTCTATTTTACAGTGCAGAGTAACCTTGAGAAGGAAATTAAAATTAACAAAGAGAAACAAATTTCACCCAGTTCTTACAGATTAATCTCTAAGATTTTTTTTTATTCCTTGACTTTTAAATATGTTTATTTTCATCTTAGTCAGCCCAGCTCAGTGCATTTCTGGCCATCTCCAAGAACAAAATGTATTCTGTTATTACTGCATGCCATGTAGAGTTGGTTTGTTTTTAAGCAGGCAAAAATACTGTTAGTATATTCGTGCTTTCTCAAAATGTGTCACTGCCAACATTTCATATGCATTGTTGGTGATCACCCATACCCAGAACTCCTTGTTACAGCACTTACTTGGACAAGACAAAACCAAAATTAACGAAACATCCAAGAAACACTGTGATGACCAATTAATGGAAATGCAATGATATGCTGTGTGCTCACTACAGTCATTGCTGGAGATGAAGCTGGGAGCTGACTACCTGCAGGTGGTATTGGACAGGCACTTTAGGACAGGTACAAGAGCCCAGCCAAGCTCATGACTGTGACCGCTGGATCAATGATGACCCTATGGTCTTACAGCTGGCCAACTGTAAGCTGATTTTTTTCCCTCCTGTTCTTATAACCCTCCCCTCCAGTCAGCTAAATGTGGGACATGTAGGTTTTTTACTTCCCAGTGCTTAAATTACGTTCGATCATATTCAAACCTATCTGACAAGTATCCTGGGGTCACTGTGGCTATCTGCCTATACTTTTTCATAATTTAACATTTTTGCCTTTGTTTCTCTCTTCCTGTAGCAGAAGGCACAAAGGGAAAACAGAAAGGAAGCCTGATACCAAGGTTTGGAAATCTTGTTTTATCTACAGGGTTAAGTTCAATTGCCTGTACAAGGGAATGGTTGTCTTGATCAGTGGTCCTGTTCTTCTAAGGGGAGAGATGATGGGAGCAATGCAGTAGCTGCTCATGGTATGATGTTACTGGGTCTTGCAGTCCTTCTGCCCTGGCATAGGCTTTGGGCATGCTTTTAAAACATCTATAGCAGAGACTGTCTATGTGCAAATTACAGTTGTACTTGAAGTTAAGACACTTTCTAGTACTCTCAAAGTCTTTGCATTTAACTTCAGCGTGCCCATAAGATGTTTTCAACAGAAGTGAATTCTGCAGCTAATTAACTAATGCTAACATGGACTACGTAGGTCTTAGATGTTTAACTTACTGCCCTCTCAAAATACAGCGTTAATATGTAACTATATGAAGTGGAAAGAAGTTATGAACTTCTGTGTCTGTGAAATGTTGATATAATCAGATATCTTTGTCCATGCATAGCATAGCATATCACAGCATAGCATTTCATTCTCAATACAAACATCACTGAGAGCAGAAAGGATGCAGTTTGTAGCAGGCAAAGCACATGCTGGGAAGCTTATAATGGGATAATTTTTAAGAATGCTAAAAACCGAGCACATCAATAGAAAGATTATTAGATAAATCTATTTCTATATGGCATGTTGAATCACTTGAAATAATACCTTTACTATAATTTCTGAATGTAATCCCCTTCTTCCCTTGCCCAAAGTAAGCAATTGTTGAAATAAACACATTATGGTGCTGGAAATGTATCTGTTTCCATTGCAAATTGTTACCCACACCTGCAGTACTGTGTGCTGTTGCATATGCAATATGAAAGACCCACAGAACCTACTATTAAAAAAAAAATGAGTTCTAAAATTTAATTTCAATAAAAATTACATTTCAAGACTGAATTACATTTCAGCTCAGGAATCTTTTGCATCTAAAACTTTATGAAAATATGAGCTGTAAAATATTTTTTAACCACATTATTGCACTGTCATAGTATACAGCATTAGCATCAGAATCAAAATGGACTTCTTATTATAGACATTATTCTTCAGCATGTGCTCCCTGTGCTTTTTCTAACTCATGGCTCAAATTGTGTTTCCTATTGAAGCATGAAATCAAATTATATTCTTGTTGACAAATCTTAGAATAAAAAAGTTTCTGGACAGCTCTCTTCCTGTTGTGCTAATTAAAATTAAAGGAAGATTGATAAAACAGCCATAAAAATGATCGGTATGGACCATGTTTTTTATAAACCCATTAACTCCAAAACAAAAATTAAAATTAAAAAAAATGAAAAAAAGCACATGTGCTGTTCTGACAATTAATTTGTACTAACAAAAGCAATGGCTGCCTTCAAATTATTTGTACACATGGTTATTTAATTTATAAAAGCTGAATGGTACACAATAGCTTCTTAATCTGAATATCTTTAGTTCTCCAAATCAAAGCAATGAGGCAATGGTGAAAGGAACAGTAGACACTTCATCTGTACTAGAGACATTTCAAAAACATAACTCTGAGAATGAAAATATGAATTTAAAATGCAGACCTCATACTTAAAAAAACCCAAACAAACTGCTTTGTAGCAAGGGCAATGTAATGGCATGCCAAGGGTCCATGCAGAGGATGCTGCATCGTGAAGAGAAACGCAGCCCCTGAAGGAAGTGTGTCTTGGAAACTCTATTTTGCATCTTGAGAGTTTCTCCAAAGACAGTGGTTATAGCAGTTCTTCGCTTCTTGGATCCCTGTTCCTATTCTGAGACTGGTGGGAAATGTTCCTGACGCCACTGGGTCCTACTCAGTGCAGGCATAAATTGTGTGATTTGCAGTGGAGAATTCATGCCCGGGAGAAGAGAGCTGATGTCTTGGGAGCACACTGCCAAAGGGCTCTGCTAAACATGATAAATAAAAAATCATGAAGGAATAACTGAATCAGAACATTTTGAGGGCATTCTGACCAGGCTTTTTCTCCACAGTGAAAGTCCCATTCCTTATAGGCTATATAGTTCCTGGGTCTTGATTCTCTGTCACAATATTCTGTGCACTCTTCAAATCACTAAATCCATGAGAAGAATTTGAATAAGAGCAGTGATGGTGTTGGAGATACACAGTGGAGACAATCTTATGCCCTTTCAAGCATCTTTGAGTATTCTGCACTTGAATCAGTAGCCACTGAAGCCCTTAGGGCCCTTTACTCTGATTTAATTAATGCTGGTTGGATCAGCACTCTCCAGTGGCATGCTAAAAATCCTTCACTGCTTGCAGGACCTAGCCTGTTGCATTTTTCTCTCCCCCCTTCTGTATTTTACATGATATCCAAAGGAAACCCCTTGAATTAATGTAAACCCATTAATGGCCATTGGAAATTCAGGTATCCCAAACTTTCAATTGAATCTTGGTTAAAAAGGAAAACACCCATGAGAAAGAATCCGAGAAATGGGTGTCTAAATGCTTTTTGAAATTACACAGGTTCCTGAATCAGACCTAAATGACCAGGATCTGAGAGAACCACAGCTATCATCAGTCATCTCTGCATTCTTTTAGATACGTGTCTGTCCATCATTTCTTGTACCTTACATGATTTTTCCCACTTTGGTATATACACGTTATTTGCTTTCTATTACAATATTCCTTGGCAACGGTAATCTCTTTGGACCTATTGCTCCTCTATTCTTGCAGGTTGCAAGTTGTGGAATATATACATATTGATAACACTGGAACTTTGAAGCATCTTTTAGTGGAGATTAATTACAACTGGCATCTTTGGGAAAAAAGCAAGTGACTTTTCTCTATTGCCTTCTGGAAGTGCAGTTGTAGGATCTTACCACCATTCCTCCTGTCAGCACGTGCCTGAGCCGTTGGCTTCCCTGGGATGGCAAAGGACTTTCTAGTTCTCATTTCTTCTTTTTTATATTCTGTCTTTCCCCTCTTTGATTCATGAAGGAATAGATGTTTAGGGACACTAGAGGTCACTGTAGCTTCACTGCAGGGCGAAGGGATGCTTCCCTGCTGGACCAAATGCCTAGACTTTAAAAGATTTTGGTTTAACTGATCAATGCCTACAACCTTTGCTTTTTTCTCCTGTACTTACAGCTCTGTCTGTCTTCCATAGACCATCTTACTATACTTTTGGGTGAAGTGAACATCTCTTTGCTTTCCAGTCCCACTCCCCTATTTCCCTGCCTACCTTCCAGCATTTCTGGTCAAGTTTGTCTTTTGCCCTGCTTCAGCCTCAGACCTGCAGCACGACTGCTTGCTACTAGTCACAATTTACAATTTGTTTTTCAGCTTTTCAGAGTGAGAAGGCTGGTGGAAGTGGGAATAGGAAGAAATTGAAATAAATCTGAAGCAACTGGAGGGCCTGAGGGTGGGGGGAAATGCTTTGGTTCTCAAGCTGAGGCCGAAGCTAAAACTGACAAAAATTATCACCCATAACAAACAACAGCAAACTAATGTACGCGACAACTTTCAGCCGTTAACTTCAAATAAATACAGATGTTAATTCTTACCAAGCCTAGTGACACCTTTACTGAAATTAAACTAAGCTGAACAAATGCAAATACAATGGATGGTACGGTGAGGCCTGAAGTTCAAACATTCAAGACTTCTCCACCAGTCTCATGCTAGGAGCATGAACCCAAGAAATGTAGTGTTCTGTCTCACACCTTCAATGAGTAATAACAAGAATTTCAGGGACATAATGTCTTAAGGTTCAATTGTCAAACAGAAAAAAAATAAATGAAGTTCATGTGTTTTGTGTATTTTTTTCTTTTTCAAAACAGTTTCCAGATGAAACTTTTTTTTATCTCCATTTTTTACCATCACTCTGTACTTCTATTGTCTTTTAAATTATTTTTAAAAAGTGAGAAAAAAATGCAATAAGCTTTAGTTCTAAATCAAGAGTTTCTCTCTGTAAGATCCATCCATCTAGGAATTACCATTTTTGGTAAGAGAGACAATTTCCACTGAATTCAGCTGAAGCAGATGGTTGATTTCACATGCATTCCTCTACCTTCCAGTACAGGCTGCAGGCACAGCTTCCACGGGCTGTGTCCAAGGGGATTCTTCTCAACAACAATTGCACATTTTGACTGTTGAAATTGCCTAGCATGTTACAGCTTAATATTCCCACTAATTATTGGATTGAGAACTCAACTGCCATGCTTATAAAAATCCTCTTGGACTTGGGGAAATGTCTTTACCCCAATACTCAAGCCCAGTTATAGATCTCTGCAGGGTAATGCATTCCAAAAGTTCAAGTCTTGGGCAGAGAAGGGGCACCAGGCTTTGGCAAACTGTGGCGTGCTGCACACTGCAATTGTCTGACCAGATGAGACCAGTATTATTGCCATTGTCTTAATGTCATTGCAGGCAACAAGCAACAAGGGGAATCACAAGCACTTAAAAAAATAAATAAATCAAGAAACCTCCTTTAGAGAAGTAAGGAACTTTAAAGCACTAAGAAGGGGAAGTAAATGAATCATGCACCTGATGGTAGTTGGCATTCTCAAACATGTGAATAGGCAGGATGCTGAATACCTATGTTTCCGAGGGGTGTACATCCTGAAGAGCTTCTGTTTATTACTACAAAGCTTACTAGGAGTGAGGGGAGATAGAGGACCATGTTACTAAGCATTCCACTGCTAGGTAAGGGATTAGGCTTTCCACCTCAAGTTAGTTCTGCACCACTGAAAATTTCTTTTCCATATGGTGCATGCAGAGAGTTTACATTAAATCTATTTTTAGAAACAGATCTGATATAGGAGGTGAAGAGAATTCCAGAGTACAATTTACTTTTTTCCCTCAGAGCAGGGATGATTTTTTTCCCCCAAGCTCCTATACTGGCAAAACTCCTTATTGCACCAGAGAGAGTTGTCTGAATAGGGAATTTGTATTCAGGCTCAGTAGTTACAACACCAGACGGGTGACGTTCATCCTTTGCGGACACCCAATGCACGTCCTACACACAGTTTAAGGCTGCTTATGCTCTCAGGATGTTGTGAGATTCACCAGTCTTGATCTAGTTGCGTGCACTGGAAGAATTTCAGCCATGTTGTATAACTGAACAGAAATAAATATTATTTGCATTCAGTGTGTGCATTTGTAGATACAGAGAATTTAACATATAGGCTTTTAAAAGAACTTGCAGAAGTCTAGAACTGATTTATAGAAATATCTAATTTACAATGTGGATACACTAGAGAGGTTGTCTACCATTACTTTTGACAAATGATTAATTAGAATATTTGTGTATAATATTTTGAGAAATACAACATAAACATTATTCTTAAAATCAGTGTGAGTCTACAGCCTCGCAAGCACAATTCTCTCAACTCAAATGCACAGCAACATTTAGTTACCTAATGAAAGATTGTAGGTCTATACATGACAAAATGCAAGAATTAATTTCTGTAAATATAAAAGTAATTTTGGTAGGAAAGAAAATAGTTAACTTTTACCTAAAGTAATAGAAGCTTTTCTGCACTGTTATTAGAATGGAATACAGACCAAAGAGCATATTCAGAAAGCAATCCAATGCAGTACTTGTGCAAACACCTCTTCATTTACAGAGTGAAACAAGAAGCAGCTTACTTAGTTCACCCAGCATCCCATGCAAGTCACTCAGCATTGCAGTCAGAAAGAAGTCAAGTAGTAGAGGGCAGTTATCTTGAAGTACATTGCAGCAGCTTGCATTGACATTTTTTACCACAAGAGACCATGTACACCACAAGTATTTTCAGTCATACAAACATACAGCAATATTTCAGCAGAAGAACAATAAGCAGCCGCTGACAAAACACACCTTTGTAAAAGGCACTGAGTGGTCTGTAGGGTTTGTACTGTAGACCAGGATCTCAGGAGTTGGCTAGTTCATTTTTATACCTACATTAATTCGCAGTGCTGCATGTATTAGTTAAGGGTTTCTGAAGGGACAAACATCTTCCATTCAGTGAAAATGAAGTGAAAAAATCTGGCCAAATCATTGAGTACTTTGACAACCACATCAGCTATCACTAACATGGAGCACATAATATAGTTTTGACAGCTGGGGTTGGGGTTTTTTTGCATCTAGCTTCTACTTATTCTACTTATTATTCTAAGTAAATTTGTAAATTATTCTAAGTAAATTTGTTTCTTTAAGTGCTCGCAGGTACAACTGCGAATAACCTCTCCCCTCTGCACAAATCACTGTGTTGGAGGTACATACTCATTTACCGGCAACTTTAGTCTCACCTTTAAAAAAGCTGAAGTCAGTTTAAACTTTGCTGTTGAAGGAGCAGGAAATATGTTTGGTGAGTGCAAAAAGTTTTGATGAGGCTGTAATAATTTATAATGAGATCAGTATGTTGCTAGCAAGCCTATGGAGGTAAAGTATATGAAAAGTCACAGAAATGACAGGGGAAGTGCTCTTGAGGGATATCTGAGAGCAATTCCAGTCCCCTTGAGTTACTGTGACACTAACAGCAGTTATGGGTACATCAAGGAAAAGGATGGAGTCAGGCACCAGAGGAGTAACTGGAAAGTGGAACAGGACACAGGTAATTGATGTGAAGACTTTCCACCCCTGACTGAGTAACCCAGAAGAGCTTATGAACCACAGTACAACTCCAGGGCAGATGTCTTTCAGGGGTTGATGCATCACTGCCACTTTTTTTCTTGGCTTTTCATCATTTTTTGCTCCTCCACTATTCTCTGATGGTGCTGATGCCGCAGTGCTGGCTGCTGAACACCTGCGGACTCCCATCCCTAATGGGTTTCAGAGGTAGTGTAATTTCTCTTGTAGCCACCGAGTCCTTTCCTGTCCCTAAGGACTCGAGCTGTAAGTATGGCAAAGAGCAGCATTTCCTCTTACTGCCTGAGGATGTGCATCTTCAGGGCTTTATTTACCCAGGAAAGACAACCGTCCCAAGGCCTGCCTCTGTGTGCTGCAGCAGTGGGGGCAGTGGGGCTTTTTTTTAAGGAGAGATGCCAGGCTGCCCCCTCCACCCAAACAGGGCCGTGCAAGAGTGCCAACCCTGCAGCCAGGAGGAGGTGAGCAACTACTGTGGTGCTTTCTCCCCACCTGCCATGTCCCAAAACGCTCTTTAGGAGGGGACGGCAGGAAAGTTGGGGTAACAGGGAAACGTGGCACTGAGGAAGCCTTGAGGATGCTGCTGCAGGGCAGCACAGACCCTGGCCGAGGTGACAGCCAGCCAGCACCATCAGGGGGGTCCTGCCCCTGCAACAGAGGGCTGGTGTGCTGGTTCACAAAGCCAAATTCAACTACATGCCTGTAGCTTCCACTGCGATTCCTGGAAACCTTGAGCATTGATTTTATGGCAGAAGCCGGGGGCCACATCCTTGCCCAGGGGCGGGGTCTTGGGAGGCTGCTGCACTCGCTACTCTGCCACTATTTGAACTGAACTCTCCCTCAAAGTTAAAAAACAAAAAATTGCTAAGTTTTTCTGTACAAAAACTGGGAAAAAGAAGCAAATTTCAGCAGCATTAGTCTACCAATATGAGTTTAAAAAAATGCAATTTGTGATCATTATCAGTTAACTGTTACGGTTCATTGAACCTACTGTACAGAACCTGAGACATCTAAAAGCCATTAAGAAGCAGGGATTTCACAGATAAAAGAAATAAAAGAAAACGACAAACCTGCTAGAAGCTTCCCCTTGTTCTTTTCTTCAGGTCAGGGAGTGCGAGGGAAAAACATTCTTGTTATGCAGATAGTAATCATATTACTTAGTCACAGATGATGTTAGATATATGGTAAATGTAAATGGGTATGTTGATTAGTGTACAACACACATGTTACATTGCAACCACAAAAACATTCAAGCAACACTCTTAACTACAGTGCTTCTGAAAAATAAACTTTTCAGTTGTTTTAACACATGCATAACATGCTTAGTACATACCACTGCAGACTGAGTTGGCAAAGCACTTAGGCAAAATGCATTGCTGACACATATATAACAGAAAGCTGTAGGCACTTATTAGGTAAAGTGATCTCTGGTAAACACAAAGGTTTAATTTTAGGAAAGCACAGCAATATGCTTATTTAAAATAAGAAGTAGATGCACTTTTGAGGGACAATCATATTTTAGAATATTTTAGGTGAGATACAGCTTCATTATTTATGTATTTTTATATCCATCAGTTTATACCAATGTTGCCTTCAACCTGTTTGTATATGTCAAAAATAAATATTCCATGTAACTTTTAATCTAAAAGCTCCTTTTAGTTTGGAGCACTTTGGAATTATAGTTATGGTAATGGATTACTTATGGCTCTGTTCTTGTCAACTCTTTAAAATTCAAAGATCAGCTTTGGGTACCCAGCCAAACCTCTTTTTGGCTGAGCTTTCTGGCACACTATTACCTTTTTACTGTCATGTGGATGTTCATCACCCAGCTTTGAGAGAAACCACTAATTCTCTTGCACTGTCTGCAATAACAACAGTTAGGATGCTTATCAGAGCTTTCCCATAAGGCTCTTAGTGCTCTCCTTTTTGATCTTTGTCAAGTATCTTTTACTTCTTGATTTGTGCCCCGCATTGAATCAGTCAACTTACTACCTTCTGGTAAGTCTTTTACTGAATTATTGAAGAGTCTTGAGCTGACAGTGCTCTGGGAATTCTCACCCAAACTAGGAAATCAAATATTTCCTGTCTGCCAAACCGTGACATCAGGTCTTTTTAGTTGTCTTCCACTGTGTGTATAACTGAGGATATAATTTGCCCTAAGGAAATATTGAATGTACCAGAAGTTATGACGAAAAGGAGCAAATTCCCCAATGCATTCACCTGCAGAATACCACAAGGCTCTCTTCCCTCACAAAGGTAGATCTGTAGCTATAGCCTTATATAGAGGCACAAGCTTAAAAATACCATTAAATCAATGGGAGAGAATTTTTAACTCAGTAAAACATTAACCTTGACATATGAGTGGGGTTTTTTGGAAAATGTTTCTAATACCTGTGCTCAGACAAATGGCAATGATTTGTATTTGTCCCACTGTCCTGAAGGCTCCTAGATAATATTGATCTGATTTGTTAGCTGAAATTTTTAATGAGAGGACTTAAGAAAACAAAACAAGACGAAACAGACAAATAGTAATTCTCTATAAGCTTGAACAGACATTGAGAACAGCATCAGCTGCCATATTTGTACCTACTTTGTAGGGCTGCAGGTATGCAAGGCCTTCAAATGAGGCTTCCAGGTAGCAATGGAAACCGATTTCTCATCAGCCGCATAACTACGCCATACACACTACGTGCAGGATATATGGTAAAAAAGAAAAAACAAGGCAAGAGGGAGCAGGGGATGAAACAAAAAAATTGAAAAGCAGATTAGTAACCAATACAAGTCACAGCTTTCTTTTATCATTCATAGCACTGATACATGCCTGAGGGGAGGAAGAATACTTTCATAATATCGCCAGGTGGCTGTCAGGTTTGTTCGGCTGGCGTCGGTAGAATAAAACCGCCAAGAAGCCTGGTATGGGGAAACAATAAAAAGCACAAAGGAACCAAGAACATGAAGTGACAATGCCACCGCACTGATTATGGAGAGAGGGGATTTTGCTCAGATTGGGATGTGCTCTATAAGGTCAATTAAGGAAACACCAGTAAAAACCTACCAAAACTCCTTTGAAGCACAGTACACTTTTTCTGGCTTTGTGGAAGCACCAGAAGATATTCAGCACACAAAGGTGCTCAAAAAAAGCCATCCCAGTGACTTATTTGTGATGAGTCCATAGGGGACACCCACACAAACTTGCTGTCTGAGGTAAAGTAAGTGCCATGATACATTTTGTAAATTATAACAAAAACCAGACAAAAAGCATTTAGAAGAATAGAGAAGCATCCTGTGTGGTTTGAAACACTGCTAAATGTTTAAAAACGCAAAATAAATAATTTCAAAGGTAAGCGACCAATGCATAGTATTGAAAATGTATTCACCAGTTAGGTTTAAAACCACATGTAGATAGTAAGACAGGTCCTTGGTTCTACAAACTTCCCTGATGTCAGCATAACCATGTTAATTTGTACTGAGTATCTGCACTTCCTGTATTTTGCCAACCATTAAGTGTCATACAGGTGTTATTGTACTGTACGGAGTCTAATACCCTGTGTTTTCCTACTGTGTATCTCCCAGAAATACATCTAGTCTTCATCTACAGATGGAGAACCTGTCACTTACTTGTAAATTGTTCCATTGGTTGATTATTCTCATTTTCAAAAAATCTCTGCATTATTTTTAATTTGAAACTTTGGTTTTGGCTTATAGCCAGGGATATTTGTTATGTTTCTGTCTGCTACATTAAATAGTCCTGTACGTTCCAGTACTTCCTCTCAGGACTTTTATGTTCAAATAGTATTTGCACTGAATATTTCTTATAAGCTAAAGAAAAGAAGAAAGGTATGTCCATATGAAACATTTCAGTTTTACATAGCAATACCTTAGCTATCTTTAAGTCAGGTACAGGCTCTAGCAGACAGTATATCTATGGGAACAAAGGAGTTAGCACAGACTAATTCCAGAGAGTAACTGGTTAGAAAATAGTCGTTATCCTGATAAGATAAAGCACACTGAATTCCCTGGTAGTTCATTATCAATATCTACAACAGACAATTTAAAAACGTCTGGGCACTGTTACAGTAGACAATGATATGCAGTGCAGACACATCCTGCGTTTATGAACATGAAATTTTCTCTCATTTTTTTCCAATGTTTTCTTTGCATTCTCCAGTTTTCCAGTCTCATTTACAAACTGCAGATGCCGAATTGATACATAGCATCGCCATACACAGTGGTAGTATCAGCATTCTCCTGTTTGTTACCTTTCTGGTTCTATATCTGAGGACTGTGATAAACCAGCTGGAGTAACATACTGGGAATTTGTATGAAGCTCTTGCCTCTTCTTTCCCACTCCTTCTCCTCTGTGTTTCTCATCCTTCATCAAATACTTTCCAGAGTCACTAATACTGGGATATAGGCCTCTTGTAAGAATCTGAATTGCTTCTAGATCAAGTTTTGTATTTGGTGTATTAAGACATTTGATAGGAATCATTCCACCCTCTAAAGTCACCCAGAGCATCCTCAAGTTCATTCCTGTGTGCCCGTGATCATCTTTCTTATTCTGTCAGGCCTTGTGCCATTGGCAAATGTCTCCATCAGCAATGTTGTATTAACTTCCAGATCACTGAAAATGCTGAACATGAAAATGAACATATAAATGCTGAACATTTCAGCATTCATCACAGGATCCCATCACAACTGTGTTCCTTTCACAATGATTTTGTCCATTAGAGTCACTTTCTGAAATCAGTCAGCTAGCTACTTGTAATCTACTTAGCATGCTGTCTTACTAATATTTGGGTTGAACTGTCATACAATAATAAGAAGAGGTATATTCAAAACCTAAATCTATTGTGTATTTCCTCTAGCAACGAAACTTGGAAGAAGTAGATAAGAGTATATGTGTTAGAAAATATCCCAGACAGTCATTCTACAGTACAATAGATACAAAAAGAATTTATTCTAATAAATATTAAATCTCAAATATTTAGCATTTAATAATAATTGAAAAGTAATAATGGAAAACATTTATGAACTTTAATAACGCTTCAAAGACAGCCTGGCATCTATCCTGAACTTATCATGAAACTCTAGTATATTAATGCTCAGCTTCTTTATTTGGATTTATTATTTCAGAATTAAAAAAAGAGCATAAATGACACACACGAAGCACTTGAGATCCCAAGAAAATAAATTAGGATGCTAGAAAATTACTGAGATCCCTGATTTCTGAAAAGTTTTTTTTTTTTTTTTTTTTTCAGTGCATCAAGTAGAGTAAAGCTAGGTGCAAAATGATTCTTTAGAGGATTTTCTCATTTAAAACTAGGACTGTAAGTCAAGGAAAAAAACCCATGCAAAAGAGCATTTTAACAAATACCATGCCACTTTTGCTTAAACAATTTTTTTTCTAAATCATTGATCTGCACCATCATGTCAATACTGGAGCTGAAACCACTTCAGATAATTTCAGACATTTTGGACTTGCTGGCACCTAGATTTCCAGCTTTTGAATTGACTACTAGAGAAAGTAATTCTCTGGGCAGGACACTTTTCATTTTCACCAAGTGTATCACTCATCGGAGCTCTCTAAACCCTGTAGTAGATGAAAAGTAGCTCAATATAGGCAAGAGTGCTGTGCTGTCAGTTGGATTGTCTATGGATCAATTCTGTTTTTCCAAGTAATTTGCTAACTGCAGGCATGCAATTGACAACCTCAACTTAGTTTCTTCAGCATGGATAGAAAAACTCAAAAAACTACACATAGAAATGCTGTATATACAATTATGGCAACACACAGCAATCACTGAACAAACTAATTTCATTAAACTAACCAATCTGTTAAACATTATTTTCACAAAAAATTCCAAATTGAAATAATAAAACTTGCTCCAATATGTACTTTAAATTCCCTACTATTATCTTCTCACTGATTTAATATTTACCTGAATTAGACTGGCAGCTGGATTCCTTCTTTTCTCAAAGTGTTTCTGACGATGCTGTTCCTGCACTTTTAATGCGAATCCTGAGCCAAGGATGCCCTGGCAATACAATATGCCATTTGTCATTATGTAGGTAGTTTTTTCGACAAATATACGTAATCACCTACAAAGATTTTGTGAAGATTTTATACCATATGATTGCTTCAGTTAACACATTTATGACGTTTATGACAGTAGAAGGCTTTACAACAGTGCCCCTTTCCTGGTGAGGCACGAGACTCCTTACTTAAGGGATAACGTCTGTGGTGCTACCAATGACCAACCATTGCTTGAGTTCGTGCTACACTATGTTCCTGCAATTCTAAAGGCCATAGAGATATATATATCTCAAGCAGGATCAAGCAGGAACATTTAGAGGAACGTAAGCCAGGAATGATGAAATGACCAGCTGCCAGATATGCCAGATACATATGGAACTCAAAGTCCATATCTGCAGTGCTTATTATAACTTTTGGTTTTAGAAAAGTTAGAAAATTCTTGCTTGACAGATTAAGACCATTTCTTCTCCCTCTTTCCCATCTAAGTAATACCCATTGCTCATCCTATAGGCTATGAAAAAGCTGATGATGAAACCCCTCCCCTCTTAGCCTTTTTATCTTTGAATAAATAAGATAA